CCCCAAAACCCCAAAACCCCAAAACCCCAAAACCCCAAAACCCCAAAACCCCAATATTTAGGGACTAACTTGAATAATAAATAATATTTGGCAATGGACAGGTGCTTTGATATAGAAAACCATAGCTCTACTATTACGGTGGATACAGAAGTAGGATCAGGAGGATCCTTTAATATTAATGGACATAATAACACAATGAAGCTACAAGGAGCAGACTGACATAAGATTGTTATAATGGGCCATAACAATGTCGTCAGAGGAACAGAAAACTTTGAAAAGGTTCATAAGTTGGTTGTCATTGGGCACAACAACACTGTTAGAAATTGCCATATCAATAGAATGGAGATCTTAGGGCACAATAATACTTTCAAGCATCTTCACCTTAATAAGCAACCAGCGAATAATGGATTTAATAACAAATTTTCTAATGTTGGACTACTGGATGATGTTCCAGAGGATGATAGTACTGGGGATCCTTCAGGTTATTATCAATCAGCTAGTGATACCAGTGATTCTTCAAGTAATTATAATCTCTTACTGATTCTTCCACCATTTAATTATTCACAAGTTCCTCTTAATATGCTTATAGGTTCTCAAAGCGATGAAGATGGATATACAACTCATAATTTCGAGTTTAGCACCAACATTAATGCTAATGTCCAGGATCTCTTAAACAATTTCGCTCCTCAAAACTTCCAGTCTTTCCAATTCGATTGTAGTGACGAATCATCTGACGAAGAGGAGGAGGAAGAGTATGAACCCCATCCAGATATCTATCATGAAGATGATTATGAAGAAGAAGAAAAAGATGAAGAAGCTCATATTTCAAAAGAAGAAAGACTAAATATTATAAACTCTATCAATTCATTCTCCTATCGCACCAAAGACAAATCTCAGAGTTGAGCTATCTGCCTGTGAGGACTTGAGGAGGGTCAGCAGGTCAAAGCCTTGCCATGTAACCACATGTTCCATCCAACATGAATCAATAAATGGTTGATGAACAAATTGAACTGCCCTTGCTGCAAACTCAAAATCGATCTATCATAATTCTTATAAAAATTCTATTTTTAGTATCAAAGTCTTATTCTTCAATTGTATTAAGGCCAAACGGGGTTTTGGGGTTTTGGGGTTTTGGGGTTTTGGGG